CAATAAATCATGAGAATGATGACTAAACTTAGACAAAAAAGGTGACATGAACAAATAGGACAAAATGAATAATCCCAGCTCACATACATTGTTCATGTCCTAAGTCTAGCCTAGGCCCAATGGCCACAAAATGCAAAATAAACTCAAGCTACCATGCTCATCCTACGGGCCTCTTGCCTGCCGCTCCGGTACCACTGCCACTACCTGAAATAAAGTCCCCAAAACGGGGTGAGATATACGGATATATCTCAGTAACCTAGAGGTTCTGGAGATTACTCCGCTCAATGGCTCACTCAGATGCATATCAATAATATACTACAACATTCAAAACAGGATAAAGCAATAGATTTAATGAAGCAGGGAAGCATATGGACTAAAATACGATGAAGCTGGAATGGTCGATGCTAATATCACGCAACATCCGGCCTATTGGCCTCGGCATATAGCCTACGGGTTCCAATCCAAGGAAGTGTTCCCAGAACATCAACCAAGGCACCCTCAATCCATATACACCCGAGACTTTCCTAATGTGCTCCTCAACGGATGACACACCATCACCCCAGGTCAACTGGAACTCCCTCATGGAGACCTATCCAGTGGAAGTCCGTAACGCCCGAATGCAACAGTCTACTAGCCAAAGACACAGTACATCCTATGTACCACTAAACATACAATAATGCATGAACATGTTATACTATATTACCAACATACACCTCTAACCACTACCCTCAAGGGGCATGGTGGAGCACACACGAGGATTAAACCCCAGTACTAAGGAATTACCTGATTAATCTTCTTCACTTGGTAGCTTCAAATCACAGTACCACCGAGCTTGGTTCACAAGAAATGTCTACACATAGGCCATTTCCATTGTAATTACAATCAACCAAGACATATACATGCTTATCAAATATTAATGCGTATATTCAAGATGACTTACCACAATCCCTTTGGTCAAGGACCAAAGGCAACCCACCAAGCTTAAAGCTCTGAATTTTCGTCCGTAGGAGACAACCTACAATGATCACACAAGGATCATCAATACAATATGCAATTAGACAAGGTTACAAGCACCAAAAACATTCCCCCCACAATGCATAGGTTCGGCCAATATGGCCAAAATTACCAAATCATTTTCTAAATTTTATTTCAAGGTTCTTATGCCTTCACAAGCTTATCACAACACTAATTCAAGTCCTTAATTCACTTTAATATCAACCTAGCACCATCCTTCCTAATTTTTCTCTAAATGGCCGAATCATACTCACACACATCACCAATATTTCTCCTTCCAATTCCACTTCACCACACCAACATACAACTCATTGAAACACCATTCACAACCACACAACATCAATTATATAATTTTTACATCATCAAACCACACATGCCTTCAATAAGCCGAAATGCTCAAGCCCACCAACCTAGGGGTATTCAACCCAATTTAACACTTCCACACATCATACAATCCTATTATTAACTCATACAAACAACCCATAACTCAATTACACAATTTCATAATCATGCCAATTCACAAAGTGTTGAATTCCCACATCAAAATTTGCTTAAGTTAACAATCCAATCCTCAATAATTTTTATAGTTTCTGTCACTCTAAAACATCATTCTAAGCCACTTTCATCTAATACACAATTTCAATTTGAGCTCTCTAACTACATCAATCAAGCAAAATAGCTCTAGGGTTCATGAATTTGGATCCATCAATTCAACCAATCAAAGATGTGGAAACTTACCCACAAGCTTGGCCTAAGACTATTCCAAGTGATACCCAATCAAAATCTTGAACAAACAACTCAAGAACTCCACAAACTCATCAATGGCCGCGGACTAGAGGGGGTTTTTTCTCCCAAATGAGTGATTTTCAAGGGAAACCAATAGGTGAGATGTGTTTGGATGGTGATTTACTACAACGTTGGTGACAAATTTTGTTGGATTTGAGTGAGATTTGAGTGAGTTAGGAGAGATTGAAGTTTTGAACACAAGTTGTCCTATAATTCAAATCTCCCGCCTATTCCACTAAATGTCCATAATTTCCTAAATATTTTAGAAACTCTAATTTTTAACATTAACCATTGTCCTTTAATTTCCATTGATCAGATGAATTCGGAGTTTTCCGATCGTTCGGAGAAATCACAGGTTTAAGCTGTTATGCGCGTTGTGGGCACGCTTCCCCAAACACTCTAATTTCCATCAATTTTCACCAAAAATCATGTTTCCTAGTCCTATGCACCATTAATAACTTATATTTGAACTTAGAGCTCAAAATTCATTCAGCACGCTTTACGGTGCAACTATACAGCAGTATTTTTACCCGATAAAAACACTATTCACCAAATTTCTAGAAACTTGTCTAACCACTCAATTTTTCGTTCTGAATCCATTTCCAGGGTTAGTTTTACCATTTGAGGCCTCCTACTCAATTTTACTTTCTTAGGGTAAGTGTTTGACAATTTACCATTTTACCCTTCCTTTGTATTTTAACCCTAATTTCAGTATTTATACTAATCCTACCCTTTAATCCACATTTAATATATAAATATATGTTTAAGAAATACGAGGCGTTATACCACACATGTGATACTTTGACTAAACTTCTGTAAGGTTTCTTAGGCATCAAGCCCCAAGGATTTCTACTTCGTCCAAGGAAAGTAATCATATACATACATACATCTACTGGCCAGAGATACTATCATACATATCATAATATCTCAAAATAGTATCAAAAATCTTAAAATGCACTTTATCATGCCGTGATACTACAATGCACCTATATTAATCAACCACTACCCCAATGGGGCATGATGGAACACACAAGGGAATTAACCCCAAGGTCCAAAAGTTTACCTATTGTAGACTTCCTGACAGTTGCTCTTTTCTACTGCAAGAGCTGAGATCATAATCAACAACACAAAGGTAACCTATGGCATAAAGTGAAATTGTGATCACAACATCATTCAACATATAAATCACTAAGTATTTGGCTAGAACACATCTTAAATTACCATTCTCATGTCACAAATCTCCTACTTGAGTGAATGTAGATTCCAATAGGTGAGAATCGCTCACAATGTCATTGGGATCAACTCTACTACATGAATATTACACAAACAATCATCATCAACCTCCATAAATATCAATTTTCGCACCACTGTTCATATAAAACCTAAGATTCTTAAAAATTCATGAAACCTAGTTTTGAGTGGTGGGAACTTACCATGAATCACCTTAGGAAACTAGAAGGAGTAAATCTCAAGCTCCATTGCACTCAAAACCACCCAAAACATCAAAAATCTCGAAATTTTTGAAATGATTGAGGTGGAATATCTCTTTCCCTAATGACCCCTAATCAAAAATGAGCTATGGGTTTTGAAGAGAATGAGGTTTTAATCACTTTTACCTTTGGAACCACTTGATTTGGTTGACTCTATCTGAAGTTACAATTTTTTGAAGCTTTGCTCTCTTTCACTCATGGAGGTCGACCAAGAAGGAGGAAGGAGAAGGTGAAATGTGATGTCTTGGTGTCTATTTCTTTCTTTTCTTAAGTCACTTAAGTGGCTAGTGGACTTTGGTCATACCACTAAACATGCTAATTTTCTATTTTACCTTTCCTTCTTACTCAATCTAGCCAAATGACTTAGGATTTCTAAATATGTGTTCTAACATCATAAACATCATATAATTGACTTTTTCATACATTATTTATCAATTTTGGGTATTCTTACCTAATTTGTATTTTTACCACAAAACTCATTGTAATTGCACTTTTGTATGAAAAGTGATTTACTGATGTGGGTTATTATAGTGGTCTTCGGGTTTCACGAAGGAGAAGTCGATGGGTGTGATTAATTTTGTGAGGAAAATGATCTTACTTAGGTGACTTTAGTCCCAATTAACTTGGTCAACATTTTACTCATAGTTATTTACTCTCTTAACTGTACTTTCTTACTCATTTCTAGCCAAAACTTGATATTTCTAGGCAAAACTATTTTTTCTCATAATTTTCATAAATTAGCCTCACTAATTTATTTACAAGTTTTAGGTAAATTTTGCATATTTGCATTTTACCCCGAAACTCACCGTAATTGTGCATTTATCTGAAAAGTGACTTAATTCTCATAATTAGATTTCTAATCTAATTACTATTATATGATAAATTATGAAAAAAATTCTAATTTTCCGTTTTACAGGTTTGTGTTAGTATGATGATAAAGCCATGAAATCCCAATTTTAGAAACAGTAGAGTCTGTTTCTTTTGACTATTCTCCAATGGAAGGACTTGTGGATTTTATTGTGCCATTAATTGATGTTTCAAGGGTATGAGACCCTAGGGGAGTTAGATAACCTCTCTTACTATGATTTAGGGTCTTAACATGTATACCAATCACTTAAGGGTTTATAAAGCTTTAATCTATCGAAAAATGAATTGAATAAGTGTATGTGTAGTTTAGTTTGATTATGTTTAGTTTAGTTGAACACTATGTTTAAGAAAGGAAAAAAAATTAACTCACTTTTGTATATGGATGATTGGCTAAGTTACAAGTGACAAAGAAAAGAATTCTTTTAATGATTCTTAATTATTTATACTACCCTTAATACCATTTACACGATGTGTTACAATCTTCTTTCTGGTTTGGGCCATGTGATATGGAAGATAAGTTCTTAAAATCTATCCATTAAGTAACTTTTTAAATTTCTTTGATCACGCTTTTATAATTGAACCAATGGGAGATTGGGCTAATCCCCTTCGGCTCATCCTTTGACGTGATTCTCTGTTTTTTTTTTTTTTTTCAAATAGAATAATAAGTGGTCTATTAAATACCGTTTAAACCACACTTAATTATTAGATGTACAAGAAATTCCCCTAAATGACTTTAATTGCAATTCCTTTACTCATTCAAGAATTGACAACTTTCTTCACTACTACCCGATGCAGGATAAACTAAAAGACATCATAGTAGCATTAATGCAATCATCAACTCTTTCAAATTTGTAGCAGAAGTTTAAATTCAGGCCAAGAAACCTCGAAGAGTATATGGTCTACAAAAGGGTGGAGGTCTACTTAGACCAAAGCCCATAAACGCATATATAAGAAAACTGTAATGCAACAATCATGCGAAATGGAAATGAATACGGTCACCCAACAATAGCTCTAGTCCAGAGAAACATGTACCATTTACTAGCATGATTCATAAAAGGAAACAAACTCAACCGCATCAAACAAACATACTGGATATATAAGTTTCCACTAATTTTAATTCTTCATGTGGGACAAGAAATATATCTCTCGGTGCAATAACAGCATAGATCCGTTATAGCTTTTCCCATAGTTAAAAACCAGCCCATCCAGCAGGTTGGGAAGTTGACTTGCTCTCAAAGGCATTTGCCTCACCAAAACCCTGAGAGTTACTCCCTTCATTAAGTCTTGGCATCTGTGGGCTGCTAGCACGTCCAGCACTGTTGTTATCTGCCCCAAAACCCCATGTATCAAAATCAGTAACTAGTTGAGAAGGGTGCTTGTTCTGCAGACCATTTCTTGTCCTGACAGATTTGGAAGTACTGTCTGCTGAAAGGGACTTTTGTGGTTCCGGTTCCTCCGGAAAAGCCTGCCATGAGTTTGGTTCTGAACTAGTAGTTTTCCATTCAGTTTTATCCTGCTGAAGTTCCCAAGCAGTCCCGCCAATCTTCTCCCTCTGCAGTTATAATGCAACACATATAATCATGTGTGACAAACACAAGCTAAACAACATCAGCAAGGAGAGGTTCAGCATATTTATTTTGTAATTGAGAAGAAAATTACAAAATATTTATTACCACAGATGCAGATGATGTTACTCCAGCAGGAGAGGTTCTCAAACCGTCTCTACTTGGGGATGGAGTCCTTGCTGCAAGTGCTTGCTTGAGATCCTGCAATTCTTGCCTCTGTGATCGGCAGATGGCAGAGAGCTTTTCATACTTTGAAGTTATTTCAGCTTTCTCCAAGTTAGTTTCCTTCAGCTGCTCTCTGAGTTTCTCCACCTCAGCCTCTAATGCTTCTTCCCTTTCAGATTTGTTACCAAGTCCAGAGTTGAGCTTAGTGGTATCGAATTCTGCAACAAAAGTATTAAAAGCCTGGTCTTGAAAGTTAGTTGTATTCTCCATACTAGATATTCTCCCCCCACTTGCATGATCTTTATCCTGAAAAAAATTTATTTCAAAGTCCTTGGAAGATACAGAATCAGGCTTGTGTAATTTTCCATGCACACTGCTCTTTACAGTACGAGTTTGTGCGTTAACCACTTTGTTAGCACTAAAATTTTTGGGCAATTGATCATTGTCTGGACGAATTCTATCATGTTTCAATGACATGTGGAGGCTAGATGGTTCTTCATCATATATAGGTTTGCTCTTTTCTTCAGGGACAACTGAATCCTTTGCATGCAAAGTGGACCAGAAAGCACCAAGCTGCCCACCACTTTCCCCTCCTCTAGAAGCAAGGGATGGCTGTGGTGTAGTTTTTGGTTCTCCAGATGAAGGTGGAGGAGGTGGATTCCTACGTGGCATTGGAGGTGATTTGTTTGTGGACATCGAAGCACCTGCCAAAAATTTAGCTACAAATTAATCAAATCATCTAATTTAGTATTTAGGGATATACAACTCCAACCTTCTATCAAGAGTTTTTTGCTTCTAATTCACTTCAAGGTAACATTTGAATATTCTGAAAACATGAAAAAAAAAAAAAAAGACTTAATATGTTAGTATAAAAAATGTATCACCTTCGTGATTGTTGGAAGAGGGCGATTCAGGTGGCCTGTCAGGTAATGACTTCTGCAAATTAATAGGTAGCTGCTCATTAATACGAAACCAAACCTGCCACCATGGTAGAACATTCAACATCAGTAATTGATTGCTCTAATTCTAGTACCTAACAATGCAATTGATGAATGATCTATGACCAACCTAAATTCATGGAGATGAATGGCCAATCAAGCAAAGCGCTTGCCTGCGTGATATCTGGTCTGTCATCTGGTTTTGCTTGAAGCATGTCTCTGATTAAGTCCGTGACAGATGAAGTGTATTTAGGTAAATCAGGAATGCGGTAGTTTCCATTTAACACTTGGAGCTTTGATTCCCCATCAAATGCACTTTTGAAGTAGCATATGCGAAAAAGGAGACACCCGAGTGCCTAACATATTCATCCAGTAATATGATTCGTCAGTTAGCATAGAAAGACTCAGAAAAAGTTGTCAAAGAGATGAGTTTCAAGCATGAATGCCTTACCCATATGTCCACTTTTTCATTAATGACTTCTCTCAGGAACAGATCCCACATCTAAAATGCATACAGAAATGAACATTTACATCAGACATGACTAATTTTTTTGGGTTCAAAAAATGGCATTCAATGGCGGTAGCCTAGAAAACAGGCAAATCCTAGAGGTTTTGTCCTGGGATTCAGGGGCGGCAGATGTTCAGGTTTATGGCTCGCCACCAGCCCTACCCTTGAAGGAAATTGGGGATATGTTTAACCCCAACAAAGACCCACCTCAACCCTGCCCACCAAGTGGCCAATTCAAGGATTGAACCCAGGCACGTTTATAACTTTGCATAGGCTGGGGCGCTTTAACCACCACCCTTGGTGGTGAACCTAATTTTATTTAGAGAAAATAAATATCAACTTGCCTCGGGGGCCCTGTAGGCAGGGGTTGTGTACTTCCTGATATTGTCTTCCTCAATCCCCATTTCTTCTGGCTTCTCAAAACGTTTGTGATTGGTAGAAGTGCTTCCAAAATCACATAACTTCCATAAACCATCTGAACCTAACAAAATATTCTCAGCTTTCAAGTCTCTGGGAAATGCAAAGAAGAAAAAAAATCATAAGTGATTAAGAAAGCACCTTATAAACTCCTATTTGATTTATCAAGCTTTTGCAATGATGTCACAGAAAAAGAAAATAAAAAAATCATTTGAAATGGTGGTGTTAATAAATGTTTTTATGAAATGAATAAATTTAAATCCTAATAAAAACAGAATATAATCACAGAGAAACCGTGTCTGAAGATGTGAAAACCATTTCATTGTCCGTACTCAAATATGAAGTATAGGGAGGGCCATGGGCAAGTGAAAGCTTGCATAGATGCAAATGCGTGCTGCTAACTATCTAGCACTTACAGTTTATGAATAAAATTAGCAAATAATGATGCTGAAGTAGTCACTTATTGAGATAGACTGAAAACATGAAAATTCCGTATGGAACATTCTTTAGAAAAAATCAAACATGAACATAAAACTACATGCTTTCCAAATGGTTGGCTGCATAAATTTTTTAAAGAATTTAGAAGAATATAAAGTGAGAAATCACAAATTTTGACACTCCTCATATTTAATTAGCTAGTATTGTTACCGGTGAGCAATAGGTGGGGATTGGCAGTGCATGGCAAAAACTGCACTACACACATCCCTGAAGATTAACAGAACCTGTTTCTCATCAAAATAACCAGCTCCTCGGCTCTCAAGCACATTAACCAGAGATTTCTCACAAAATTCCATCACAAGGAATGCCTCTTTTGTCCTACCCATATCAAAGATTGTATGTGCATGAAGTGTTACGACATTGGGATGTCCTACCAGCAACTTCATCACAGATATCTCATTCTTTACCAATCCAAGTGATTCTTCATCATTGCATATTATATGCTTCAGAGCATATTGCTTTGACATATGTACAACATCACGAGCTAAGTAGACACATGAGAACCCTCCTTCAGCAATGGCCTTGTGCACATTTATTTTAAGCTTGCCAACATCTATAGAGCGGCCTTCAAGACCAGTTGGCTCTTTGTGCACGAATGGCTTAAATCTCCACATTTTTCAGGCAAAACAGACTAGGATGCTGCATATGTAAATTAAAATATAAACCATAACTTCCGCATCATAATGAACACATTCTCTAACTAAATAACAACATTGTTTTTGAACACATAACATAAAATCATTCTAAGCATACAATAGAATTTTTATTCTCATGCTGGTAGCAGTATTTGATTCCATCCTCAGCATCAATTGATCTAAAGGAAATACTATTAAATTTCCCAAAAAAATAAAGAAATATAAATAAACTTTATGCAGAAACCGTATCACAACAATGCCAATGCCCTATTTCCAAGCACTGTTTCATATGGTTAAACTAAGTGGTTAATGACGATTGACGAGTTCCCAGCTATAGAGATTAACAAAAATCAACAATTTTCCACTGATCATCATAATACATTCGCAAAAAGGGGAGAATATACTATAGATATCATCGTACCCAAATAAAAATTGCTAAACTTTCAAACGTGAACTTAATAAAGCAGTTAAAAAATCATCATTGACAAATTAAATAACCACTTCAGAAGATCCAAGAAGACCATAACGTCAGATCATCATTAAATTTTCATTCACCACCCACATATCCAAAAGATCCAATAACAACAAAATGGTAATCAACACTTCAAAAAAAGAGCAAAAAAGAAAAAAGAAAAAAAAAAAAAAGGTATTTTAAGAAAACCTAAAAATCTAAAACACAAACAAGAACCTTACCGAGAAAATTTTCGTTTTATTACTCCCAAAGATCCTTCAATCCGAAATTCAGCTCTAATTGAATAATCCACGCCCTCGATCTGCATCGAACTCAAACACCATTACACGCTAAAGATCGCATAACTCAAATCTCCAAAAAGTACATAAATCCTGATTTTAAAAAAAAATCCCCTCCCTTCAGAAATCGACTCTTACACAACTACCCCCAGTTTACATTCATAAAAACAACAAAACTTAACAAAATTAACGATCAAATCTCGCGGTTCTACCTGTTCACACCAGATTGAAGGATCGGGAAGTTCGTTCAAAAGTCGAATCAAATCTAACAGTCCGCCATTAACGCAATAGATTGAGCTTCAGCTTCTGCTTCTTTCTTCTTTTTCTTCAGAATTCGCCAACTGAAAAGAGAGGAACGCGTGGAGGGTATATATATATAGGTGGGTGAATCGCGAAGAGAGGTTAAGTGAGAAGATCTGACCGTTCGAAATGTTAAGATAGTGGCCCTCTAATCACAAGGTGGTGGATGAGGTTATATTGTGTGCATGAGCGCAGAGTATTAAATCCTTGTGCGGGAGTTGGATTGTGCTGTGGGTGGACAGCACTTTCTCCATATCAGAGCGAAGGGATTTTAGTACTTTATACACGGGAGAGTGATTGAAAGGGTTTTTACTCGCTTCATCTTGAGAGAACGTGGTGGGATGTCATTGGCAAAATGCAGTTTTTTTTTTCTTTTTTTTTTTCTTTTTTCCAGAACATAATTGGGTTTATCATCTATCATTTAACATGACCACAAAAATTTTCCTACACACACAACATTTTGTGGGGCCCGCAGCAAAAAAAAAAAAAACTTCGGCACGCAAAACGAATCTCTATAACATAACACAATCACTTTTCCTACAACATAACTCTTATAAAACCCAACATAATTTGAACGAAATGATATTTATGATTTTACAAAACCTACCGGTCATTATTATATTTAAAATCCCAAGATGGGATAGGATATTGTGACACACAAATAATATTATGCACAATGTTACGACCACATCTTAACCGTTGATTTCCGCCAATCAACGGTTATCATTTTTCAAATCAAACTCATTAATTAATTATTAATTCGCAATAAATGATAACTGTTGATTGACGGAAATCAACGGTTAAGATATGGTCATAACATTATTTGTGTGTCACAATATCCTATCTCTTAAAAGATTTTGGTCGTTAAAATTTAAGGGCTATATTCTCGTCGTTTTATTAATCTCATATTAAAGGAGATAAGTTATGTTATCAAAAAAAAAAAAGGAGATAAGTTATCTCATGTCACAGAGACGAATTTGTGTACTTCACTACTTGAAAAATAAAAATAAAAGAAAAAAGTGACACAGTTATCGAAGGGTGTGTAGGAGACAAATTTATCATGTATCATAAGAGTAACTTTTCCCTTGTAATAAAGGAGTTATTTTTTAGGGAAAATATTTTCTTATGTTAAAGGCAATGTTATTAAACCCGGACCGGTGATCGACCCGGTCGGGATACCGGATCAGTGGGTCACCGGTTCAACCAGTGGGTCACCGGTTCAACCAGTGAACCAGATATGTATATAAATTTATATTTTATACGTAATTATATAATATATATTTTAAATAGTGCAAGAGAATCAAGAAACAAATATAGCTTAGTGATAAATACTATAATTTATATCTTCACAACAAGGGTTCGATTCCTACTAGATGCAGTTTTTAAATAATTCTATTAAATGATATGTTATATATATTAAATTGTGCATATTAACCAGCAAACTAACTCAGCCTAGTGGTAAGTTGTTGTTAAGCATCCTCACAAGACTCGAGTTCGAATCCCCACAGTTTCAATATTGAAAATTATGTTTTCCAAAATCGGTTTGAGCAAAAAATCGATTCACCGATTCGACGGTTAATACCGATTGATGGCCTACTGGTCTATTAAAGGCTTTATTTGTAGGCCAAGTCCGGCCTATTTTTAAAAATAAACCAACATGGCCTACAGGCCTTGTAGGCCTACCTACCACTGTAGATACTAAGCAAAAAAAAATTGTAAAATAATTGTATAGAGCAAAGAAAGTTTCATTCATGCATGCACTAATACTTCTCATAAGAAAAAAATAACAAACAAGAAAGAGTCAACATAATACCTCAGCTCTATAATGTATATCATAGAGGAATAGAGTCAAAGAAATCGGGAAAATAAGAAAAGTACAATTATTGGGTGCTGAAATAAAGTCTACAAGAGAATGTCATTCATCTAAAAATTAAGGTTGGTATTGGTACTTTGCCATGTCACATAAAATAAATATTATTTTATTATTTTATTTTTAATAAATTAAATAGGCCAGCCTATAAGGCTTTGGGCCAGACTTGACAAAATTGGCCTACGTCCTATTTGTTAAAAAAGTTTTCTTAAAAGCCTAAGCCTACTCTACTTTTCTGAAAGGTCGAGCCAAGCCAGACTTAATATAGGCTGGGTCGGGCTAGCCTGGCTCATTTACACCCCTAGATACCGGATCAGTAGCATATCTGGTCCATTGCAAGAATCAGACCGGTTGATGGGCCGGTTCCCGGTCCGACCGGCCGGGCCGGGCCGATTTTATCAACACTGGTTAAAGGAGATAATGTCTCTCTCCGACATTAATAAAAATGTGGGTCCTATGAGTTTATTTTATTTTATTTTATTTTTTACAAATAGTGGGGTTACAGATTATCTCTATGACATGAGATAATTTATCTCATTTAACATGAGATTAATAACACTCTATTTTTTATAATAGATATATACTGGTAGGCCCACCACTTAAAAAAATAAAATAAATAAAATGCAACACAATTTTCAAAGAATGTGAAGGAGGAAAAATTACTCTCCTAGAACAAAAGAGTAATTTTTCCCAAAATTGATTTGCACTACGTGATCATCAAATAATTGTGAAGCGTTCTTTAATAACTAATAAAGTTCAAGTAGCAAGAGCTTGTTTTCCATAATTAAATATTTAAGAATGAAAAAAAAGGATATTGGAGAATAACCCCAATATTGATGCCACATCGCTCGACGAATTTGTTGGGAAAGAACAAATCTTTTTTTCATGTAATAATAAAAAAATTATTTGTTTCATTACAATAAAACTATAAGATTAACATAACCTCCAAAAAAAAAAACTATAAGATTAACAAGGAATTTCAATGGCAAGAGGTGTGACCACATCTAATCGCAATAATACATAGGTCTGTTTGGTGCAGATGATAGGAGGGAAGGATAGGATATACTATCATATCCTACATTTATATGTTGTTTGATAGGATAAACTCTCATATTGATTCATTTTATTTTGTGGAGAGTCTGATAATTAATCCTAAGGGAGGAGCTAAGTTACAATTTGATCGGATAGGATAACAAAATTCTAACTCTTATTTTACCGATTATATCATTCTTTCTCTACGTGCCTCAAACCCTCCCTCTCTGCCATCACCCTCTCTACCTCTTTCCTCATATTCTTCCAATGTCTCCCTTCTAAAATCGTCGACACCGCTATCATCCTCCTAGGACTCCCCAACTTCCTTCTCGACAAACCTTGCAACATCCACTTTATCTCTGTCGCTGCCTTCCTCATCAACGTCCAGTGCTCCGTTATCGTAAACAATTCACATGTCGTCACCAAGATGCTTGTTTGAGACCAGAATTTAGAATCATGTTAAGTTTTCATATAACACGAACAATACACAACACGCTACAACAACTCATGTAAGAACCTGCATTGCTAAATAATTAATTAAATAACATTATCGGCGTCAGAGCATGGATTTAATTAAGATTATGCATAATTATGGTAAGATAATTATTTGAAAAGTCGAAAAATGCTTAAAGTCACTTTTCTGATGAAAAGTGTAGATACCGATTTTGCTTCGCAGTATAAATGCATAGCGGTGAAGTATTTCGAGAAATTATAATAAAAGTATGTTAATTCCTAAAAAAATGCCTAGGTTAAGAATATGAAGTTTGGAAGAAAAATAATTAGTAAATCTATTAGAACTGATATTGATGGATTAATTAAGTGCACTTATAAATAGAAAGGCACATAAACATAGGTCAGATTTCTACAAGCCTCTACGTAGACCATTTCACTCCCTCATGGTTTCTGCCTTCTCCCACACAACTCCATAGCCTTCCTTGCATGAAAACCACCTAAGATACCACTTTTCCACTTGATTCTTCCTCTCTAATCTTGTAAACACTTGAGAGCAAACTTGGTGAGGGAGAAAAACCACTTCTTGAGTGGGTGGAGGTTCTGTTTGTGGGTGTGAAGTGGCTGACTTCTTGGTTTGGGGGTGTAGAAGCCATTTTCACTCACTTTGATGCTTCAAGAAGCAATTTTGTGAAGAAAATGACCTAACTTGTGAACCAATTCGTGGCCTTGTTGAGACATCCCACTTTATCAAACGTGTGTTATTATTTTCAAATGGTACCTAATACACAAGAGTGGCACTCAAGGACCAGCAATGCCTTGGTGCTCTTACAACCCATTACAATTTACATCAAATTCCTCACTTTACATTTCATTTCTTACATTATAAAACTTAAACCGTTTCACTCACTTTGTTCCATTTGCATGCATTCTTTAAACATAGACATAAGCATAACTTAAAATAGGCATATTCCCCTTTCATCATACATTATGCTTCAAGATTACACAAGGTCCAATAATTACAATTTATATTTCTCCAATGAAACATAATACAAATAAATGCTCCAAGATATGATGAAATACATCTCAAAATAAAACAAGGTACTTTATCAACTAAACTTAGACAAAATATGGCATGAACAAAGATGACAATATGCATAATCCTAAATTGACATACAATGTTCATGCCCTAAGTCTAGCCTATGCCACAATGGCCTCAAAATGCAAAAAGGTGCATAAATCTCCAATGCTCATCCTATTGGCCTCTTGCCCACGGCTCCAGTCCCACTGCTATTACCTGAAATAAATGTCCCAACTCGGGATGAGATATAAGAATATATCTCAATAACCCAGAGGTTCAGGAGATTACTCCGTCCAATAGCTCACTCAGATGTAAATCAACAATATATTACAACAACCAAAGATGGATAAAGCAAGGGATTTAATGAAGGTGGAATGGTCAATGCCAAATTCATGCAACATCTGGCCTATTGGCGTCAGTATATAGCCTATGGGTTCTCATCCAAGGAAGTGTTCCCATAACATCAACCAAGGCACCCTCCATCCATATACACCCGAGACATTCCTAAAGTGCTCCTTAACGGATGACACTCCATGACCCCAGTTCAACTGGAACTCCCTTATAACACCTCGCATTTCTAAATCATATAATTATATTTAAA